ATCCTCTGGAAGGGCTTTTTTAAAATGCAGATTGGTGGGCCCCTTCCTTAAGGCTTCTGATTCAGCAGGTCTGGGGTGGGGCCCAACCATGTGCATTATAAATAAGTTCCAGGTGATGCTGCTCCTGTTGGGCTGGGACTCACGTGGAGAAGCTCTTCTATAGATATTACATGTGTGGGTAGAACTCTCCAGATCACAAACATACTCTACTGTGACCTTTTGTTGTTTTGCATGATTTTGAAACATGTTCTACAGCTATAGCAACCTCCTGGAAATACTTTGGTTTTAAAAATGGCATTTTAATTGGTTTAAGCTAATTGGATCTTAGGGTATTACACTCTTCAAAGAAGAAAGCTTTTCATTCCTCCAGCTGTTGTTTGTTCTAAATGATAAGCACTAGGTAAAGGGAGAGAAGAAAGAATTTAATAACTTTTCCAAAGCAATATTGTGTTTCATTCTCCTGATTTGAAGTTATGATTGTGATCAAAATTTTGATCCGAAAATTACTGGATTTGTGGCTGTGGCTGTCCCAGGGTAACCCCCTGCTTCACCACTCTGACGGCTGTTCATGACTTCTCAGACACTTGTCTTTATATTATTGCTAGAGTTCTCTCACCACAATGCATTTCCAAAGCTCAGCATTCTTTCAAAAGAAATTAAAAGGGAGAAAAGGGAATATGCTTCATTGTAGAAAAGGAAAATATAACAGCTAACAGAACTTGAATGACAGTATGACATTAAAAGCACTGTCTCTGGTGTCAGACTGCCTGAGGCCCAATCCTCGTTTACCATTTACTACTAGTTGGGCGAATGACTTAATTTCTATATTCTCACCTGCAATGATTGAGTACAAAATTCATGCAAGTACAAATATATAGGACATAGTAAGTGCTTGATAAAACTTGGCTTTTGTTATTATCTTTTAAGTTAGTGCTTATCAAGTGAGATCAGCAATTATTTAAAAGAAATCTGTGCTTAAAGCCTTAAGTTTGGTGGTTAATGAAGGAAAATTAGATTCTTATACTGGAACAGATAATTGAAACTCTAGCTTCATGGAGATGCTGGGAATTTTTTTCTTCATTAGTCAACAGACATTTGTCATGGGAGGTACAAAGAAGAACGCTGTCTCTCATGTGTCGAGAGCAAATTTCCTTTGTAGAGGGCATGGCAATACATTTCCCCTATCTCCATGTAACTTTGAAATTCTATGCAGAACATCAAGGCAAACAAATGTTGATTTTAAAGCTCTAACAGTTTATTACCAGGTGTAACTAAAAAACGCTTACTAAAACTAGTTTCCAAAATGATCAATAATTCTGCCCTTTCTGCTATCAGGATCTGCTTCTGTTATGCTTAATAAGTGTTGTTTTCCTTTCCCCTATCATTCCCTTGGTTTCTTCTCCCCTCCCTCACTCCCCCCACCTAACAAATCTTTGCTGAGAAACTACTATGTATAGATTTCCTACTGGGCTGAAAATGATCCTTCAGATTTATTTCCTTTTTTTCTCAACTTCTTTTCTTTATTCCTTCCTTCTATTCAATAGCTTGTTATGTGTGTGTGGCCCAGAGGGGAAATGAGATCTTGATGTGATAACTGTATTGTTTTCCAACAAGCAGAACTATTAATATTTGCAGTGTATCTAATTGTTTCTGTTAGGTCTAATACTTCTTATAATCTAATTAATCTTTCTGATGTTTTCACTTGCTTATGGCTTTATAGAGAGTAGGCATTCAGTCACTTTGTTGAATTAAAATGGAATGAAATGGAAGCCCTTAGCATTTCTTTTGAAGTAAGGCATTGAGAATTAATTTAGGAGGGGGAGGCACCAAATCGTGTATGGTATCAAATCAGATGACAGTCATAATTTGTCTTCCAAAGTTTCTGGAAAATAGTGATAAATATTCTTTCAAATTACTTAGCTCATATTAACTCTATAAAAGTAAGTAATAACCAGGGTTTGCAATAAGAAGGGAAATAGATGGCCACATTCTGGCCAAACCTGAGGTTCGCAAGAGCCTGTCTTGAAGTATCCAAACTGCAAAGGGAAGTCTTGAACTATCATTCTTCAGCAGCGGCTGAAGTCTTTCTCTTTTGCCTCACCAATCACCATCTTGACACATTTCTAGAAAAAGCTAATTTTACATCATTACTTTCTGTGTTTTCTTCTTTTATTCAAATGTTCTCCTAATTTTTCAGATTGCATGATTTCTTTAAACAATGAACTCCAGGAATACTAATTACACAATTTGCCTGAGTGTCAAGAAACTTTTTCTTAAGTATATAGAGATTAAATGATTTATTACAATCTCCTTCCACTCTGATTAGTGTATTCAAAACACTATTTGAAAGAGACTTTACTATGCTTTCCCCTTTTCCCATCTTGAAAAGAAAATGAGAAAACATGAGAATTCTTCACTTTGTGAGCTTCCATATTCTTTGTGATTTTGAAATGTGACAGGGTTTGTAAACAGTTCCTCACCTGTCGAGCTGCCTAGGGTAGGTAATGTATGTTGGTTCAAGGGAAGAGAAAACATTTCTTGCCTTTCCTGTGAGCCATCTGAATGAGAAGGCAGCAGTAACAAGGGCTGAGATGGTTTATTTGAATGGTGTGACTCTATGCCCCTATTTCCTCTTTTTGTAAGTACTAAAGCCCACCAGTCATACATTTTATAAAACCAGTTCCAATGAGGACCTATCAGCCATGGCCAAGATGTCCAAGAGTTGTCCTTAAATTGTTAGCTAATGCAGTCTGTCGACCCAGAACCGAGGGGTGATACTCAGGCAGGATCATCTAACAATCTCTTTCCCATCTCAATGAAATGCTGGGACATAAATTGTGGCTCTCCTCCGAGAGGACTCACTTATTTTTATTACAAGTAGATAAATCACTAAATTCTCTTGCTACCCCATTTGAGTGACTTGGTGTTTTAGATGTAGCATTAGATCTTGAACTGTGAAGTTTTTCTTATTTCATGATAGGTTCAAATCAAGAGAGGATTATGCATTTTCTTAGTTTGAGCCAATCTTGGTAAGTAAACACGCCATGTTTAAAAAAAAGGGGGGGGATTCTTTACAAATAATTATCTGTCTAAAAGTATTCACTAAGCTTTATCTAGACACAGAAGTCTCATTGTACAATCCAAAACTGTATTTTGGGAGACAATATAAGGAGTCTCATACCAATTTTCCAAAGCACACTGTGTTCGCTTAAAGTAAGGCATGCTGGTGGGTAAGTGGAAGGACTGTGTGGTGGGATGGAAGCAGACAGCCAGCAGGAGAGTAGCAGTCATTGGGATAATAGGATAAAGGCATTGTGGGTTTCTATGGTAACCAGGGACCCCAGCTGTTCTCCTGCCCCAGCTCTCAGTAGAACAGCCCACCTGTGCTGAGTTTCACCCTGCTTTTGAAACAAATCTTTTATTGCCACATTAAATTGTACCAAGGATTCCAGTTCATGAAATAGGACCAATTACTTTAGCTGAGTCTAAATCTCTAGTGCACTTATCAAGAAATGTTTTTCTAATAAGTGCTGTAATTTTTCTTTTTAAAAGATACATTTGGAATGAATACAAAGAAAGAAAATACACTTTCATGCTACATTTAAAATTCATTAAGGTTGGCAGGGTGATTTGTTCAGGAAGTTAGCTGACTTGTTTTCCAGCTGAGTTCTGGGAATGGTCATGTCCTCTGTTGAGGAGGGTGAGTTGTTTGTAGGGGGTGCTACTGGTGGCTTAGCAAGGTTTCCAGTGGCCTTCCATTTCCTCCCTATGTCCTTGTTCTCTCTGCCACTTAGAAGTTGTGGGTACATAGATAAGTTTCTGGATTCACTCTGTTCTAGTTTCCCCATCTGTACAAGTAGAGGGGGGAGATAACTGAACTTACATCATTCAACCTTTTGTCAGGATGGTCAAATGATCTATATTAGAAGCTCTAATAATTGTGCTCAATAATATTTGCTCTTATCACAGTTATTCCTTTATTTCATCTCAGATATTTTATTTCCCTTCTAGTCTCAACATTTCTTCTAATTAACTTTAGAAAATTTCTCCTGTCCATTTCTGTCCACTTGTTTACCTTAAACATGTTGTCTCACCCCAGCTAGACTGTAGAATGCATGAATGTGAATGGCACACACTTCTTAAGAGATCTGTATAGTTTCAGGTCAAGACTGCAGCCTTGAAAAACGTTCCAGGGGGTGAAAAGGCTGAGACTAATTTGGGCCCTCTTAGAATCATAGGAGAGAGGGTCTTAATCACAGGGATGATAGTTACATGTGTGTTACACTGGAGTTAGGGATCAAGCAGTGGACAAAAGAGATCTGGCTTAAATTCCACTCCTACCAGTAATTATGCCCCAGGAAAATGTATTTGACTAAAGAATATCTTTAAATATCTTTAAAGTGCAGCCAATAGTAATTTACAGGATTATTTGAGTATTAGATATAACACCTGAAAAGTACATAGTAAGTCCTTAATACTCAGTGGGCATTCACAATGGGAGCTATTACTAATATCATCATTGTTGCTAATAACTGAAATAATATATTATTTGGCATGAAATTTATCTTAATGTGACAAGCAAGTTTCTGATGTATAGTAAGTACCTTATTCCACAGGGCATAGATGTGAATGAATACTCAAGATATAATTTCCTCTTTTTTGGATCCTATTACATAAATAGTGCTAATCCTGGAGTAGAACAAATTTTGGACTGAAAAATAATGGAATAGTCAAAAAGTGCTAAGTACCCAGTGAATTCATTAACACACTTTCCAGCCAAACATACATGTATATACACACACACACATACACACACACACGCACACACAAACACACAGTTATTCTAAGCATTGAGTCAGCTACTGGGTGAGAAAACATATGAAGTGCAAAGTTCAGAAAAAATACTTCAAAATTTTTGTGCAAAATTTAAATGAAATATTTACCACATATATTTTCTACTAGAGCAAATGGGTTTCCTGAAGAAGAATTGGTTTTGTTACCTGTGCCGGAGCCACTAGTTCCAACTCTGAAGCTGACTCAGAGTTGAGGGCACTCTTCCCACTACTCAGTTCCGGTTGAGATCTGTGCTCTGAAGACCTGTGATGGATACATTAAGGAAATTAATGTACATCAAGAAACAAATTCAGCTAGAAATCTAGCCAAGACCCTTACTTAATGTGGATCCTTGAAAGCCATGCAAAGCTCTCATTAGAATTCTGATGAGAAAGGTAATTTTTATAAATTTCTATTATAGTGACCACTTGCACAGTTTATGTGGCTATAATTGCTAGGTGTTACTGTTTTATAATGTAGAGTTAGATTGAATTATGGGCAGAAAAAAAATAATAAATGCAATGCCATTTTTGTTAGAGAAAACTCCACTTCATGAAAAAACATTGTGTTTATTTTTTTTGGGGGGGGGAGGGACACAGGTCACTAAATATCTTCATATAGAATTTAAGATGTCCTAATAAGTGGTCAGGTACAGGGTAGCAGGAAGCTGAAACAGGTACTGCCCTTTAGCAAGCTTCAAAAACATGGTAAAACCCAGGAAGGCAGATGTCCTCAGGGGTATTTATGGATATTCTTAATTATTGCATTACCTTAGAGTGGATGATAGAGAAAGCCAGAAAAGTTTACCTGAATAACCCAAAAAATTTAACTACGATTTATGTGATATATTAAATATGCTAACACGTGCTCACACGTACATAAATCTCTTTTTTGATTAATGGCTCAGTAACACATTCAGAAAATCATTCACAAGTATTGAATTCTGAACCTTCTCAAATTCTTATTGACTGAATTGACTTAATTTTGGATAATTCATATGAAAATTTAGTTTGTGGTAGTTAAGTTTCTGGTATTAATGTCTTACCATAAGAGCTCTTTCGATCCCGTTCTAGATGAACATGATTTTCTCTCTGCCATTGGATGCCCCTTGCTATTTCGCTCTCCATGAAACTTAACATCATCCCATTTTTCCAGTTGGGTTTGAATGTCTACTAAGAAGAAAGGAAGAGGGTAAGGGAGCCCAGGAAAGAGCATGAGGTACAGAGAGAAGAGATATTAATTAAAATTGAGAAGTCTTTTCCAAGGGAACTTTACTCAGTTTGTCTCCTCAAGATCCAAGACCAATCTTTTCAATGAGGCATAAAGTTAATTAAAACATGTTTAGCTAAATAAAAGTGATAACTCTTAAGGTAAACTGGATTGTTTTTACAACTGAAGCAGTCAAGTTGTTTTACTCGGAATTATTATATCAAGGGCTATGTGTATTTTTCAATTCTGAGCATGAGTCCATGAGATCTGGTGTGGGATGTGCATATGGAGTCCTGTCTACCAGCCTCCAGTTAAAGAGATGGCTTTAGGACACTTCCAACATGTTTCTAGAAAGAAATTTTGCTTAAGGAGGTGAACTTTGATGTTAAATTTTAAAACCTGGTTTCTCATTTATTTCAGAATGGTGATGATTAAATGAGACAAAATATATGCAAAATATAGAATGGGTCCCTGGACCTTGTCAGCCAACAATAAGTGGTAGCTATTATTATTGTCTTGGATATAGACTCAAAGCTCTTACGCGCCACTGTTTTGTCTGGCTGCCCCTGGGCCTAATGTTAGAGTTGTTTACTTATGTCTCTTTCTTGTTCTAGACTGAGAGCTCCTAGAGAGCAAGTTACTTTTATTTGTAACTCTCCTTCCTAGCATGGTGCTTGGCATCTCTCAAAAACTCAGGACATGCTGGTTGAATGTGTAAATGAGTGAGTCAACACCAATTATGCAAAGTCGAGCTCCCAGCAGCATTCAGTTCAAACACAAAAGCAGCTCTGTCCTGCTCAGTTTCCTACATGGACTTCATTTTTCTACTTCTTTGTTCACTGTTTTAAAATCATCTGCAGAACTTTGCTGTTGTATCAACTCCAGCAAGGCAAAGCTAAACAGCAGCCACCACACACTGTTGCCCTACCTAAATCTAAGGATGAGGTCTCGGACCCTCTGAGAGGCTGGCCTCTCTGCTCAGCATCTGCGCTGATGAGGTCAGATCCATCGGCCTTTTTCTTGAGGGATGAAGTTTTTGATGAGGATTCCGATTTCTTGGCTTTGGTTTGGGTTTGAGACACTGGTTCACTCAGGTCCAGGAGATCCAAGCCTGTGGTCAACACTATCAGAAATGGAAGAGTTAAGATAAATTCATTTACTGTACTGTACTTACTTTTTAAACATAGGTTTCAGTTGGGTACAGAGAGATCTTGTGTTCATAAGATAGGTTAGAATCACCAAATTACCTTGGCTCACCATTGATTTATAAAGACAATTTGTTAGATGGGAAGTTCACCTCATGTTCCCCTAGATTTGTCACAGCACAAACCAGTCAGTTAGGACTTAGACCAGCTTTAGCAGCAATGAATGAAACTAAGATGAGAAAATTGAATCTGAGTTCAGGTACAATTTACTTGTTTTGCTTCTTCTTTAGCAAAAGTTTATTTTAGAATGAGGTATTTCCAGAGAATAATCTATCATGTTCAGAAATTTAGTGAAGTTTCTGAATGTCTTCATGTTTTAATTTTAAACAGCAAAGTATATGGGGGATAAAAATGCTGTTAATCATCCTTTATTTAATTAAGCAGTTCAATCAGAAAATGGCATGCTGTTTGGGCTCACACTGGAGAGGTGTTTTGTAATCCATAGCTGATGAATAGGTACACATGTTAATGCTTTTGCTATTTAATATGCAAATTTAAATTTCAATGTAACCAGCTATAAAACTGTTACACTTTTATTTCCTAGCAGGTTGATTACATTGTATTTAATACTCTAATGAAGGCAGAAACAATTATTTGTTCCAATGCAAACTAGGCAAATGAGAATTTAAAAGGCAAGCTTTGTTAACCCTCTCTTCTCCTTTATAGCGCAACAAAGTAGTATTGGACTAACTCATTGTGAGAAATAGAAAAGTCCAGTTAGAGAAGGTCCCTCCAGCCTCCCTCTCCACCAGCCCCTGATATTTCACTGCCTCAGCACCAGAGCACACCTGGTGCCTTCCTGGCCTAAGATCTCTTCATCCAGGTAGTTTTGGAAGCCACTGAAGGACAGAGAAACCCCTGACATTAAACCTTCCTGGCCTAGTCTACAGTGATGGCACCATGCCTCTTTTTAAGTAACCCAGGTAGCTTTTCCTCTTAGTGGAGAACAGATTTTTGTTGAAGTCTCAATACCCTTCCATCTGTTCCGCCCTCCTGTCACTCAAAGAAGCTTCAGGGTTCCACTGAACTCTCAGGATTTCTTTAGTACTCCATCACTTTCAAGAGCTAACCATCCTTACAAAATCCTTAGAATAGAGTCACTATTCACTCTCGGTAATCTTGTTTTTTTTTTTTTTTATTTCAATTCCAAATCATAGAGGTTAGCTATTGTTGGTGAAGTCCAGAGATCTGACTTCTGACTATACCACTGCTTAGTAGAGGGACTTGGGACAAGTTTCTTGATCGGTTTGAATCTCAGTTTCCTCATCTGAAAAATTGGGGAATTAATAGTCTTTTAGGTATGAGATGAGGATTAAACGATGTCATTTGTGTAAAGTACCAGAATTATGATAGGTACTCAGTAAACGTTATTTGTAGACTGGGGGTAAGTATGAAGCTCAGTGGTAGACCACTTGCCTAAAATACACAAAGCCTTGGGTTTGATCCTCAGCACTGCAAAAATTAAAAAATAAAATAAAATGATATTTCTATTGTCAGGAGGTAAATTTGGGATTTTTTTTCCTCCTGTTTTCCCCATTCCTTTCTATTTCAGGGCAGAATCAGATCCATACGCTGATAGAGGAAAGACTATTGGGAATAAAACTGAGGATGAGGAAAAGATATTGGTTCTACAGAGGATTACTACGAAATAAATTTATCATAAAATGGCCTGATACTGTCAGCTTATCTGAACTGAGTCTTCCTGAGAAGATGGGAGCCACTTTCCAACTCTGAGATACTCTGAGATATGGGGAGTGTTTTGTGGTTTAAAAATCTTTGAATGTGGAGGGAAAGAAGTATTTTTTTAGAATTAAATTGCTTAGCTTTATGTCGAAAATGTAAGTATGGCAGGCAGCCAGGATAAGTCAGGACACCACATAGTTCACACCAAATGATTGGTTAAATAGAAGTTTCTAGACCACTGTTAGTTTGGCAAGGACTTCAGGCCTAATGTGATTTTCTTATAATAGAAGGAAGGAAGCTGATGACAGTCTCTGAAATGTCATATACATCTTTTTATTAATTCTACCATCAACTAAGAATTCGTTACTCCTGGACTTCTTTTAGAAGCAAATTATATAGGAATCATTTACTTGTACATCAGAAGTCCATTTGTTGCAAAATAATAACCGGTGAGCACTAATTTAATTCTATCCCTACTTCTCACCATATGGAATAAACAAATTACTCAAAGAGTGAATTGCTAATTCAAGCTAGGCTCAGTAACAGTTTTTTCCTCTCCAAAGTGTCCTGGGTACTTCCTGTATTTGTTCTGAGCTCTAGGTCCCTTTTTTCTTTCTCTGTAAAGGTGAAACCAATGCTCAGCTCCCACAAAGACCTTATTTGTTTCCCAGTTGATGAAAGAGATGTCTTGGAGGTCACATGGCAAGCTTTGAAGCTGAGAAAGTCTCTAAGAACCACAATTTTGAAAACACAATATGGGGACAATCTTCCACTATCTGGAGGAAAAAAATGGCAATTTGATGGGTGCGTGTCTCTTTTAGTTAATGTTTAGAAATAAGGGTCTTAGAGGTCCATATGTGCTTCAAAGACAATGTGCCTAGGCATTGAAGGGGGTATGTGCTTTGCTGATACCTTAACTCAATAAAAGAAAATTATACACATGAAGGTTTGGGTTCCAGTACTCCTGTGCTTAAAGTGAGATCATGAAGGATAATTTCCTTCTGTCATGGATGTGAAAATGTTTGTATGGGTGGGCACACATGCATGGTGTATATCTGTATGTGGAGCCAATAAAATATCTTCTAGGTATAATCTTATTTTCACATATACATATTTTTCTACATGGAACATAAGTCATGTAGAACATAAGTCATGTTCATAAGCTGCAGGCACCTTTTGTCCAAAGGAATTCATTCCTACTGGGGGAATCCCCAACTCAGTGAGTTCTGAACAGCTCTATCTTGTCCTGGTCATCCCTTTTGTACTTTGTCCTGTCTTTACCACCTAAGGTCAGCTAACCCAGTTTGGTGTCCTGAAATTAAGCAGCCCATATACATAAAATACAGCAGCTCAGGACAGTGGTTAGGACTGCCTGGGTTCAAATCTTGACCCTGCCATTCATTAGCTGTGTGACTGGGCAAGCTTCTTAGTCCCTCTGAACCGTAGTTTCTGCTTGCCTAAAATGAGAACGAAACTCGACTTCATAAAGCATTAAATGAAGCACTTTAAATTCTCTTAGAATTATGATAGAAGCATAGTGATAATTATAATTCAAATATATGTTACAGTATAATTGCATGAGTTCTTATAAGAGGGAGTCCGAAGGGTCAGAATCAGAGAGGGAAGTGTGAGAGTTCACTGAGGTGCAGCTGGTTTTGAAAATGGAAGGTTTACAGATGGTTTTGAAGATGCTACACTGCTGGTTTTGAAGACAGAAGAAGGAGAGAGAAGCTAAAAATTTTCAGGTGACTTCTAGAAATTGGAAAAGGTAAGGAATCAAATTCTCTCCTAGACCCTCCTGAAAAGAATGTAGCTTGGATGACTTCTTGATTGGAGGACTTCTGACTTTCAGAACTTTAAGATAATGAAATTATTTAGGCCATTAAATTTGTGGTAGCAGGAAACTAATACATTTGGTATGTCAATGCTTATGCCAGGACTCAAATATAGGTCTGTCACATTAAACCTGTGTTCTTCACCACTCCTCTCTAGACTGCCTCTGAACTTGAAGGTAGTGTGCAGACTCTATTATTTATGTATTTGTTATCTCCTAATTATTTGGGAGCTTGCATAGTCTGAGGTATGATTTACATAATTGGCAATCTCAGAAACTTTTTTTTAAAATTCTTCCTCTTTTTAGTGGACAGAATGCCTATATTTTATTTTTATGTGGTGCTGAGGATGGAACCCAGTGCCTCACACATGCTAAGCAAGTTCTCTGCCACTGAGCTACAGCCCCAGCCCCAGAAACCTTCTTTTTTAAAATAAACTGATTCCACTGGATAAAATTTCCTGAAGATGGAAGATAATACATTACTAAAGTATTTGTTTCTGACTCTCTCAAAAACTGAAGTTCACAGCCTACTGAATTGGAAGACTCCCACAGGGCACTGCAAATGCATGTGAGAACTAACTTCTACTTAAAACAGAGTGGAATAACACGTGCTCTGAAGCCCTGTTTTGATACTTTGGTGTTAAGCACAATGCTATTAATATCACTACAGTGTAATGAGGCATAACTTCAATAGCTGGCAATCTCAGAAACTTTCAAATAGATATATCAAAAAGATAAAATATATTTGACAGGGCTGGGATTGTGGCTCAGGGGTAGAGCACTCGCCTAGCATGTGTGAGGCCCTGGGTTCCATCCTCAGCACCACATAAAAATAAATAAATAAAATAAATATATTGTGTCCAATTATAGCTAAAAAATGAATATTAAAAAATATATATTTGACTTATTGAATAAACTTTTCCTTTTTATTGGAATGTTTTTAAAACGATTCCCCACATTTCTAAACTCTCTCAAGAGCCATGCCATTCATTGGTTCATGACCACTTGAGCTTCATAAAAATTCATTTTGTAAATATTACACTAATTTTGCAGTTAAGATGTTTTATTAGGTGGCTGTGGCAAGATTGTGAATGTTTTTAAGGGTAGTTCTTTCCT